TTAAATTTAGTTTTTTAGGTAAGTTTAACGAAAGTCGTAGTTAAGTAACTTACTAATAAACTAAATACTACTAATTAAAATAAAAATTAAATTTATTTTATTGCAGAAACTACATAATCTATAGAAAGTTACTATAAAGTGTGAAACTATTTTAAGTATTTCATCCATTTTCGCAACGCAATAAAACAAACCATACAACAAACGCGGGCGTGGTAGTATTAAAGGGCTATATTGATTTAACTAATACAGTTAAAATAAAAACAGCTGGATGAAAAGTAATTAACGAACACTAAAAACAGAAAGTTGGATATCAAGTATTTCAGTTTTCTTACTCCCCTTGCGACTACTTCACCATTTAGTTTTTATCTATATCTTTTACGTTGTGTATATTAATAAATTTAGTTAACAATTGATGATAAAAGCAACATAACTTTAGAGGAAAACAGGCCAAAAGCAAAACAATTAAACATTAAAGTTACAGTATATTTATTTCTTTGCTTACCTCTTGCAATTTCCTTAGAGTTTCACTAACTGTTGAGCTCAATTCTTCCAAAGCTGCCAAAATCTGAGAAAAGGGACCTAGATGACGTAGCAACCCATAACACAATTCTCCGGCATCAATGGTGCTAAAATAAACAGAAAATAGATGTAACAGGAATAAAGAATTTCATTTTGTAAACATTTACTCTTTTTTTTAGGGGGGGTATAAATTGCAAACAAAATTCATATTATAAATAAAGAATACGGCAAACGAGCTAGTCAAACCATCATGAGTAGCTAGGATAGAAACAGAAAATTAGATTTTGTTCAGGTTTCTGTGTGGTATTGCTTTATTTACAAACACTGTCAAACTAATCAATGATTTAAGCACTGTATTCATGACGAAACACAGGAGAAAATATCATCAGGTGATGATGACAAAACCTTGTCGAAACGTTGTACATTTGCTGTTATGTTAAACTTATATTAAAGTTTTTCTTTATTACCCATTCCAGCCGTCTCCAAGCATTGTTAGTCTCAAAGTGGGTTCCTCGTCATCGAGATTACAATTATGTTCATGAATTTTCAGAAACACTTCCATTCATATTTATTTGCAAACTCAAAAAAGGAGGACTCCTGAAATGTCGCCATTATTGCTTTCTTTATAGAAACCATTTCTGAAAAGTTCCGCTATTTCCGTAAGGCAATTGGAGGCCCATTTTCATCCAAAAACGTTCACCTTCCTGGGCTGTCAGTTGGTTGCTTTCAGAATTTCCCGTACTGGTGAATTGTGTTTTCACGCCAAACTGAGATAAGTTCCGTATGGTTGTGAGTCTAATTGGGAAAGTAACATAGATTCTGTACATCAATGAAGGGAAGGCAAGTAAGAAAGTGGGGGGTGAAACCGTAAATCACGCTGCAGTTAAATTAAGGAAAGACTTGCGGTAACATTTTTTCAAAACTTAAAAAAAAATGAACATAATATTTAACAAGCATCTTAACATCGTGTTAGTGAAGTGTCGAGCTCTCAGTCTGCCATCTTTGTTTTTTTTTTACATCTAATTATTTCAATCAATATACAATGTATCTAGAGAGAGGCTGAGGGTGACAGCACTGGTATTCGAATCAATGATTGACTAACCTGAGCTATGCTGATGACGTGGCACAGCGGACCAACTATAAAGACGAATTTCGACAACTATAGACCTTATGCAATCACGTGACCAAGGTAAACATGGCAACAATTTGCGGCTATATTGCACATAAACATTATTTGTGAAAACAATGCCTCCTTTACACAATCACCTAGTTATGTCCAATATAATTGTGACAAGGTACATTGTATATACAAGTAGTATTAACCAGATATAAAATGGGAACTGCATAGTCTATGGTACGACAATGGTTTCCAAGCTTTATCAGTGTTGTTTGGATCTACATGTTTTACTGCCGAAGTCGATTTAACTCTACATACTGGATCTTTTGGAAACCTATAAAACGAGAACTCCGTATTCTTTGTCTGGTTGTTTGTACAACTAATTGTCATACAGCTGATCGTCATATCAAATACTCGATCCCAAATTGCAATACCAGTAACCACTGTGATTACTAGATTGTCTCTCTGCTACTTCTAAAATGGCGGTGTATACTTTTCGGCTTGCCGATAATATATGCTTGACGTCACGTGCGTAAGGTCTATTGGAGGAAGCATAACAATGCAGCGAAAAGTAGGCTTTTTTTTATGCTAAGAAGTTTAAGGTCTGATTAGATGGAAAGTTACATCTCATTAGCCAAAGTAACAAAACACTGAGTGAGTGGACGTTTTGTGATACTTGATGGTGAAGGTCACAAAAGATTTGACTTCATCTAGTAGGGTTCTGTACGCAGAAACAGCATGGTTAAAAGAGCCTTCCAGAATATTTCAGGAAGCACCAAAATGGTGATTTTTCTCAGCAACTTCGATGAAATGTCACGTCCTTGCAAAAATCACATCCAGAAGGATGGGGTAACGAGAACATCTCAAGGCAAAAGGATAACACGTTAGTATATATACTCACAGGAGGCCGCGGAAAACTAAGGGCTTGGTGGAGAAGCAACACTAATAATTGATTGGGGATTATAAAGATGTGGTTAAGAAGATCAGGGATCTGTAAGGTTGTTCGGTTCATCCTCACATCAACTGTCTGTCAGACGTGACAATGTCTTAATTCCGAATTGACTTTATATTTTTTATTATTTGTATTTGCTTGCTTTGTTTCAGCGCAAAGCTAACCAATAGTCTATCAGGTTGTATCTGCCGTGGGGATCGAGCCCCGAATTCTAGTGTTGTAAGCTCTCAAGCTACCGGTAAGCCACCGGAGAACTAAACGTTTGAATGTGTCTAGTTAAAATATATAAATGTTGTTTTTTTTACTTTTTACTGTTGTTGCTCCCATGGTGTGAACGATAACATTGAGATATTGTTGTATTGCTGTTTATAAATTATTACAAATTATTTGATGAAGAGTTAAAATTTAAGCCTTGCAGATTTTTTTTATAATTCACCTTCTCGTATTTTGCTAACCAAGAGCATTAAACAAATAAAAAATGTTCTTTAAACGGATAGTATGCTGATGAAGTGAAACTTACTTTTAAATTTGTGATATGCTTTCAGACATATTTTAGAATAGTTTCTATCTGACATCAACAAACGCCAGTTGAATACATATATTTCAAATAAAAAAAAACAGTTACTCTAAATTTCAAATAAAAATGTATAAAACAAAACACAAAATATGTGACAGCTATTAATAACACAAATGGAAACTTGTAAGCTTAATTTGGTCTACATTTTGTTCATATTCCTTTAGAAATGTGTTCAAACAACAAAGTTGTTCGATCAGAAACCTAACCTCCTAGTGGGCCAGTGGTAAGTCTACGGATTTAAACGCTAAAATTCGGTGTTCGATTCCCAGCGATGGACAGAACGCAGAGCGTCCATTGCATGGTCTTTCGCTAAAACAAACACACAATCAGGAATGTAGCACATATATATCTGATATATTTCAATACTATAAAACAGTAGTTTCTAAACTGGAGTCCAAGATATGGTGTCATGAAGGCCTTAGCACATGTAGATATACGATCTTGAAATATGTCTTGTCACCCCGACAAAACAATTTTTTCAGTGAAAATTTTCTTAATTGCAATACAATATTGTTTGTGTTTGATATTCCTTTTCAAAGAATAAATTACAGTGAAAGCAAGGTACCTCAAAGTGGCTTTTATTTAAACCTTTTATAAAACAACAGGTGGGGTTCTTAGCCAGTGTATCCAAAGTCTTGATGACTTCGTTCTGTTGACATATTTTAAAGTAAAAACTTAGGTCACTGTGAATGTAAAAAAAAAGTAAAAGAAAAAAAAAAAGGCTCAAAATTTCAGGAGTTTTCTCTTTGGAAATAAGATTCCAATATTTGCAAAAGCTGGAGTTTGAGTCATGATTTTAGACTTTATATATAAACTCCACTGCAGATCAAGAAATTGGTGTTTTTTATTTAAAAATTATTCTAAATTAAATATATCTATATGAGCTTATATTTTTCCTTTTATAACAGGATAAAATATATCGTACGATAAAAGAATAGTTTTCGTATGCTATCCGATTTTGTGTGTCTCTTTCGAACACTCGCGTTATTTTAATGTAAAAAACTCAAGTGATTAGAGAAATGATACATGAAAGTAAATTAGAATTTCTAACCAGCAGATAAGATGAAGCATGACAACAAATTCTAAATGAATCGTATAACAAGCAAGTTCGCTACACTTGCATAAGCAAAACTGAAATACCCGGTATTATGGGAGTTGAATTCCTCAAACACATCCTCAAGTTCGCTTTCTGTCAGAATGCCATCCCAGAAAAAATTGAAAAACTCATCTCTGGACAGAACACCATCTCCTGGAGGAGGAAAAATCAGCAACAAACACATAAACCTAACAGTACAAATATGATTTTTTAGATTGATGTTTTTTTATTTGAAGTTTTTATGTAATTTTCAGTTGAAAGAAATGTTAAACTTTCAAATCATGAGATTAAATTATGAAAGATTACAACAAAAAAGTATCCCAGAAAGTGATTTTTTACTTTTATCTTAAATATATATTTTCACAAAATTTCTAAATGTAGTGATTGGCTAAAATAGTGCATTAAAAGTTGTTAAA